ATTAAGTAGTTGCCCAATTTAAAACTTGGGAGACTTGCCTGTCACCCTGCAGCCCTGGACACATCTGGTGTGAGGTACCTGTGGGAGCCCAGCGCTTCCCCATCCTGAGGTTTCGGGTTAGGCGGAACATGCAGGTTCTTCCATATGGCCTTGGGAGTGCAGGAGAGCTGTGTCCTGCTCCTCGTGTCCTGCCCTGGAGCCTCAGGCAGCAGCTGGCTTTGTCTCTGCCCTGCAGAGCTGGAGCCATGGGTTAGCCCCCCCCCCCCCCCTCTACTGTGACATGAAAACAGGGGGGCATCAGGTGTTAAAAAGAGCTTGGGGTGACTGAGATTGCTGCTGAGGGACTTGTAGGGGGATGCCAAGGAGGTGAATTCTGCCTATGGGGTGTAGGGGTCACTTGTGTTTAGCAGAAACACCTCTTCGGAAGGGAAAGGTTTGTCCTGCTGGTTGAAGGCCAAGTGTCCAAGAGTCTGGAGTTGTGGAACGCTGTCAGGAACATCAGGAGCTAAGCAATATCAGGGGAAGAAATGTACTTGAAAACCACAAGGCTTTCGAAGTAGTGGGTGGTGAAAATCCTATCAAAGATCTTACTGTTGAGATACATCTTAATGGAGGTGGAGCTGATGGGAAGCATGCAGTTGGGGAAGGATACGTGAGAGCATCAGCGTAATTATCTGCCTCTTCAGTGACTGTATGGATGCCAATGTCAGATATGAGCAGTGTGTGTAAGTGCTATGTTTTCTCAGTCTGCCTATCCAAACTAGTATTGGCAAGTTTAGAATCTGATCTGTTTCTTCTTAAAGGGTTCACCCTGTAAAGAATGCACTTACTGGAAACTTAGGCAAGCAGAACCCTTGTGTTGGTCAAGTACAGCATGGGTTGGTTGCATCCAGGAAAGAAGCCTGCGTGCACATGTCTGTGTAGCATAAACAAATAGAGCTATGAATCTTAGGGGAGAAGTCGGTCCTCTTCTGTGCCACACCAGCCATTTGAAATGAGATGGCCTGGAAACATGGGTGCTGTTCTTCGTAATGTAATGGTGGGGACCTGAACTTGCTTCACAGAAACCCTAAAGCAGTCTGCAAAGAGCAGGAGCAACTACTGCATGGCACAATAGTCATGTGCTGCGGGAAAACCATCTCATGGATGATGCTTAGTTGGAAAGTCCTAAGGAAGCATTGGCCAAAGCAGTGCCACGTTGTTGTTCTTTTAAAACGTAATGCAATAACGCAGCGTTGTCAGGATTTAAAGCTAGACTTTGTGCCCTCTGGTTTTTAACTGAGTTTTGGGGTGTGCGGTGAACTGTACAGATCTGTATGGGTCTGTGCTAGGTGGGCATGTGTTCAAGCAAGCCCTGCATGAATTCTTTACAGGGAATAAGAAGCAACCTTTTTACATGGCTTATGATTAAAATGTAGGGAAGCCATTGGGATGATCGCTTTGGATGTGTGTCTGAAGGGGGCTACAAGGATGCTGGAGAGGGACTCCTCATCAGGGACTGCAGCGACAGGACAAGGGGTGATGGGTTCAGACTGAAACAGGGCAAGTTCAGGTTAGATCTAAGGCAGAAGCTCTTCCCTGTGAGGGTGCTGAGGCGCTGGCACAGGGTGCCCAGAGAAGCCGTGGCTGCCCCATCCCTGGCAGTGTTCAGGGTCACTGATGGAACTGGATTAGCTTTAAGGTCCTTTCCAACCCAAAGCATTCCATGATTGTATAAAAATGCCAAGTTGTGCAAATGTGCACTCCCTGTGCACGTGGACAGATCACAGCCCTGGTGACCAAGGGTTCTTTTGGGTCAGTTACCTTCTGACATTTGCAGCCTCATCTTTATACCAGTCCAAGGAGTTTCTATTGCTTTCCTGTAATAAAAGACTCCTGCACTCTGGAGAGAACAGAGCACCGTGTGGGTGCCTTTGGAGACAGGGCTTTAAAAATACCTGTGGTTTGTGTGGCTGCATTGGATCAAATGCAGCATTTTCCACCCTGTGGTTGAAATTTCCATCCGCTGGAGTTTGTAGGGTTTGTTTTTTTGAACTGTTGCTGATGTCTCGCATGGAGCCCTTCAGTTCAGTCGGGACTGGGAGGAACTGAGTCAGATGGGATAATGGATGCTCTGGAATTGGTGAGGGGCCCCAGAATAGGTGGTCCAGTGGTAAGAACTGCGGCCAGTCTCTCTTAGGGAGTGATGAAAGGTGATCCTTCTCAAATGCTGTTACGCTCATGTGCCTGGTTGCTGGCATGTGGGGGGTGATATGTGGGCTGGGAGGTCTGTTGAGTGCCTTCGCTATGTATGGAATACCCCTATTGAAGCTCCTGGTGAGAGCCTAAGGGATGGTTAGAGCTGCTGCTTTGGTCAGTCTGCTGGGAGTGCTTTGAGGAGTCCCATCAACAGAATGCATCTGGTTCATGCTGCTCACTGGCTGTGAGAAATGAACCCTGGTTTTAGGGTCATCCAGATGTCTCAGGAGTACTGAGTACTGAAACAGGGCAAGTTGAGGTTAGAGCTAAGGCAGAAGCTCTTCCCTGTGAGGGTGCTGAGGCGCTGGCACAGGGTGCCCAGAGAAGCTGTGGCTGCCCCATCCCTGGCAGTGCTCAAGGCCAGGTTGGACACAGGGGCTTGGAGCAAGCTGCTCTAGTGGAAGGTCTTGTTTTGAGATTGACAGTACCATAGGTGTACGCTTACTGTGTTTCTGCTGTCGTTTGAGTACCAGTGCTCTCACCCTAAACTACTCTAAATGATGCTATTCGTTTATCATAAAAATAACCAGATAACTGAAAAGGTTTTGTAAAGTGAATGGCTGATCAGCAGTCACCTGCACTGGCAAAGTTCCTGCTATATTCCCTTAATTAGTTTCCCTCTTTACATAAATAAACCTTGTAATGCAGTAAACTGAGAGTGGCTCATGGAAGGCCTGGATAGGTACGAGACAGCGTGTATGAAGCAGAAGTCCATCTCCTCCCTTGTTCTTCTCCCACTTCTCAATGAGTGACTGACTTTGTACCTACATAAGAGCTCTTTCCCCTCCGAGCAGGGAAGGGCATGCCCTTGAAGGAGGCTTTGTGTTTAAACTGCTTAGGGGTAGGTCTTTAAGTTTGGAAGAGATTTGGAAAGCTTCTGTGAATAAAGTGGAGGTCTGCATAGTGCAGGCTTCAGAGTCTCTTAGGATCAACGAGTTTGGGAAAGACCTTTAAGCTCATCCAGTCCAACTGTTGCCCAGCACTGCCAAGGCTGTCAGATGAGTTATAAAGGTTAAATGTCATAGCAGTTGCAAAAGAACCGTCCTTGTTGTCTGCAGCGTCCATTTTGACTGGTCCACTGCTTATGTTCCTACTGTCAGGATAGCAAAAGTATGAATTATATGGCACTTCTTGCATTCCATTTACTCCCCTGAAGGGAAAGGTTTCCTTCATCAATTAATATACCTTTACCTGAGTTCCTTTTTATACACTCCATCAGTCCTTGTCAGAACTTGTGCTACCTCCTTAAAATTCATACGTAAAACCGCTTTCTTGTAGCAGTTGTTTTGTCAATGAAATCTTAACTGTCCCTTCCAGTTTAATAATAACTGTGAATACATTGCACTGCTCATATCAGCGGGGTTTACTAATCCCTTTTGCTAGCATTGTGAAAACAGGACTGTGAGTTTTCATGTTGGTCGGTTCAGTTCTTGGTCCTTGAGTAGCAAGTGTCGTGTTTTCACTGGATGGAAGGTGGCATTGAACTTCTTAACCTCCTTCATATTTGATTCATTGGAGGGGTTTGGGCTTAGTGTTTCTTTCACTTACATCTATTTAAGAGCTCCGTGTCAACGAGTAAGGCTTTTTAAAGTGAAAAAATAGAGTTTTATGATTGTTGCTTGTATTAACTTCTTTCCCCCACCCCTTGGTAGTTCTTCATAGGATCAGTGAGCTTAAAGTTTTGCTTGTATGTGATCACAGTACTAACACCAGCTATTTATCCTCCAGTGTAAATTCCCTGCCAATTTCATGGAACATGAGCTCAGGTTGTCTGTATGAGGATAACACAGGTAAATCATGTAAACCTGCAATAGGAGGTTCCTTCCTGAGTATTTAGCAAGCCCTAAATGAGGCTGGGGGAGGAACTCAGCCCCATGTGATTGAGCAACGTAGTCTTTTATGAGGCTTTTTTAGTGCTTGGCCTGGAACTTATTGGAACAGCCAAATAAAAAGGATCTGTTCTGTGTTGTTTTGGCTTGGCAGAAATAACGCAAAGGACTGTCAGAGGCAAAGAGTATGCAGAAGCTGTAATTTCCCTTTTACCACTGAAGAACCCATCTGGCTGGATTGTGTCTTCAACGCTAACTCAGCTCTGTGTGGCCAAACAGATTTCTGGAACCTTTCTGTAGCCTGTTTATTTGCTGTTCGCTTCAGGCCAAGTGTTGTAAGGTCACGGGGCTTCTGGCACGGCCAGGGTGGTGATGTGAAAAAAGCTAAAGGGAAGAACTCTGAATCCAGAGCATTGAAACTGAGGTTGCCACTTGACGCAATTAGGTCATGGCTAGCAGTACTTGTGTGGTCAGACTGTGGCTTTATTATAGTTATTTGTTTCGCTTTACAACTTGCTTTAATACTAAGCCATCATAACGAAAAATCTTCAACATATCCCACAGAATATATAGTGGAACTTTACCACAGTTAGGCAATTTTAGTTCATTCACTTGGCCATTGAAATAACCTTAATCCTGGTCTTCCTTCTAATGGTAAGCACTATTTTAACAGAAAGCACATTGCCTTTTGTGACTGTAATAGAGCCACGCTCCATAAGCCTTCCATCTTAGCCAGTGATTCATAATGGTTTTATCCTGAAGGATCAATTTGATGAGTTTAACTTAATAGCCATTCCTTCTTTGCCTGAACACCTTCAGTATTGCACAATGGTGGGACACACAGACTCATGCAGCACATCAGGTTTTCGGTGGCTTTTCGTTTAGAGCACATCAGTTAAATGCCTCTTTCCACTCTGTTTTCCCTCTGTACAGATGACAGCATCTCAGCTGCGAGCACGTCTGATGTCCAGGACCGCCTTTCAGCCCTGGAGCTGAGAGTACAGCAACAAGAAGATGAAATCACTGTGCTCAAGGCAGCGCTGGCTGATGTGCTGAGGCGTCTCGCCATCTCTGAAGATCATGTAGCTTCTGTGAGAAAATCAGCACCAAGCAAAGGTAAGGCCGTATTTGGTGAGTTCTTTATAGGATTGGAGTCTTGTCATTTAGAATGTTCTCTGTTGGTCACTTCTTCATTCCCCTCTTCTGTCTCCTTTGCAAAGGTAGGTATGTTTTGAGCTGAAGGACTTGGGATTTTTAGAGTGGCTTCACAGTATATGGCTCTGATCTCTGACATGGCCAATGCATCTCTGAAATACCATATTAATCTGACTGTCTGCCAATGTGTTTACTCGACACCTCTGAACATTGACCTTCCTTCTTGTTGAAAGGGTCCTGGTTTAATTGAAATGGTGGAAGGCTTTACAGCTGCAGCCTTGAATCTGCCACAGGGGCTCTGGGGCTTATGGGCACTTCTGAGTCTCTGCTTTGACTTCACCTACAAGTTACTCACTTGAAGGGGCATGTTAGAGGCTACGTTTCCCTCTGCTCCTAAATGAAAACCAAACCAGATAGCCCAGAATACATTGCTACCAAATGAGGAAGCTTGCTGACCATGGTTAGTTTTTGTTCACCTGCACCAGTAGGTTCCTGGAAGAAGCAGCCCTGTAGCCACCCAGCAGTATCTCTTTTGCTTAGTGGCTAGTGAGTTGTATGTTGCAACTTGGAAATATATGGGGCTGTTTAAAAGTAAAGAAACCAGATGATTAAATACAAGGCTAGATTATATTTCAGATAATTCACAGTTGTAATTCACCATAAGTGCTTGTATATCCCTACCAAGTCATGCAGTGTGGAGTTCTCTGGGCTCAATCCCTACATTCAGACTTGAAGTACACCCATGCCACCACCAGCAGTGTAACACTGAGCACACCAAAGCCTGTGCTTGTCTGGGGGGCTGAGTTGTGCAGGCTGAAAGCGCACGAGATGCAAATGCTGGAAGTTTGAATTATCTTGGATGTGGCAGGGAGATCAGATTCCTTAATGAAGTGGCTCTGCAGTCTCTCTGCCAGATGGAAGGAAGTGATGCTTGGGCTCTGAATCCTGCCATTCTCTCTTGCTTGCTAAATGGTAGGCTGTTGTCATCTTTGCTTATAAATGCAGCTTTTATCTACTCAGTGTGCAGTTGCAGCCTCATCAAGATTGAGACTTCCTTCTGTAACTCAGTGTAAAACGGAGCTCTAGCAAGGATTGCAACTAAATCATTCTTTGCTGTTTGCTGTCCGTTATGACAAGGAGAAGATATCCAAGTGGAAAACTCTGGACAAAATATGTGCAACATAGGACCCTATTCTTCCCATTTAAACGCAGAAGAGCTGGGCTATGCACATGTGGCTAAAGACCTTCGGCTTGGAGCTGTCTAGTATGCAGTGAGCTCCATGCACCAGCAGTGCAAACTTGGTCTCTTCTGCAGAATGCCTTGGAGCTATCTCCGCCCTGGGACTCGGAGGGTCTTTGGCCATGCCAGGTTCTCCAGGTGGATTTATTCAGTGACAACTACCTGAATTATTTACTGGGGGGAGGAGTATCTGAATATCTTCAGCTCTGGGCTATTCCATCTCTACCAGTTAATGGCAATAGTATGTATCTGTGAGGAGAGAGATGGGGGCAGGCTCAGAGATGTACACACGTGAGCTACTATATTGAACTTCAGTGAGTTCTAACTAATTGGCACTGCATCTGAACTGTGGTGGATATGTCCCCATTGTGTTGTTACCCAACAGGCAACATGTTAATGTCACTGTTAATAAGATACTAATTCATTAATAATGAAACCAGCTCCATGTAGCTGGTCACAAAGGAAAATGTTTCACAGTCACTGCAGTTTTACAAGTCTAAAATGAGACTTGATGAAGAAGTTTGAGGTGAACATTGAGTTAAGCATCGGTATATGAATGGATACTTCAAACTGAGCTCGCACATAGTTTTTTGAGGTACCTTAGGCTGTACTTTATATTTCTGTTATGTTCATTCAGTAGAGAAAGACCTGTTGAAGTGTTTTGACAAGGGAAAGGGATTCTCTTCATGAGCGAGCGGGGCTGGCAGGAGAGCTGAATTGTCAGGCAAAAGTTAAACCTCAAGGAAGTAGTTGTTACTTTGAAGTAACGTGCAGGTACATAACAGGCTCTCACTGGTCACATCATTTTTGCTGCATAGGTAATTATATTCCTCCCAAACCCTTTTGGGTGTTCACGATCCTGTTGAGAATCTGCATTACAACGATTGTAGGTTCCTGGTAAATACTACAGGTAGGTTTCCATAAGAGGAAGAGCTGCTGGGGCTTTGATTCACAGCAGTATTTGTCTCTCCAGCAGCCCTTACGTACATCCTGACAGAAATAAGGAGTGAAGAGAATAGCTGTGGCTGTCTCTGAATGCTGAGGATGTGTTTCATTTGAAGGATGGCAACACAGCGGGATAGATACTTCTGAAATACCCTGAGCTTACAGGAATGGTAGTACCAGAAAAGCCATCTTGAATCTTCCCATCAGCCAGAACAGTTTTAGTCGGAGTCACAGGCAGTATCTAACCCCGTCTGAACAAGTCTTTCCTACTTGCTGCTGAAAAGGGTTTTCGGAAACCTCTGTTTTGTTTCTTGTTGCCACTCCAGCAGTGTCTTTGAAGAGAGCTTTTCCATAAGCTAAAAGCAGGGCTTTTGAACAGATCAGGAGTTGTGCTGAAAGGGGCAAATCCCCACCTTCTGTCCACTTGTTTTTCTCACTCAGTTTATGGCTCAACTTAGTGCAAAAGGGGTCTCTTCATCCTTTGTGCTTGTTTTGTCTGCATTGCACATCTGGTGAGCTCATTCTCCTCCGAGTTTACTTATGCCTTTAGTTTAGGTTGGTAGACTGACGCAGCTATAGATGAAGATAACTTGTTTGCATTATCCTTGTAGTCTGCCTGCGTTTGTCTTCTCTCCTATATCGCTGTTGCATGCTTGTTTTGAGCTTAGTCGTGCCTTCACTGGAAAAACTCACCTGGGCATGGGTACGTTTCTGTTCAAACCCATGGGCTGCCAGGCGGGAGGTTACTGTCTCTGATGATGTCTCTGGAGCCCTGTCTCAGAAGCAAGCTGCTCTCCATACAGGGAGAGGTGATTTGCAAAGTCTATGAGATATAAAGGGTGAGAATTTTTAGCCACTTCAGTGCTCCCTTAGTAAAGCACAAAGTGGAGATACTCTGTGAGGGAAACACCTTTAGTAGGGGTTGCAACAGAACGGACGCTTGTCTGTTACTGCATAGTGGAAAGCAGGCTGGGAGTGTTCATATGGGGCTTGTTTCCCTGTTTATGATTTCTCAAAGCAAAGTCATTCTAAAGGGAGAAAATCTTTTGGGGCTAAAAAGGCCATGGTGGTGCTTCTCCATCTCTGCATGCAGTTGAGGAGAAACTAACAGGGCCTGAGGACTGGAAATGTGGAGGAGCTTGATTAAGAAACAGGTTCCCAGCAGCTACAGGGTTGGGGGGATTGTAGTGTGTGGGGTTGGCTTGGTTTGATTTCTTTTTCCTTTCTATCTTTCTTTCTCTCTTCTTATAATAGATGGCTTGGTAAGAAGGATTTCTCTGGTGGGAAGGTCTTTGCTTTTGGCTGCTCTGTGCTCGTGTTGCCACACGTCTCTGCTCTTGCTGAGTGATTGATGCTCTTAACACAAAAGGCTCCAAACCCAAAGATTACCTGGACCCCAGAGGAAAGGAAAGTGTAAAGCACTCTGGTACTTGTGGCTGCCAGCAAGATGGATTGGCTCACAGCTGGTGCCTGGAAAGCCTATTGCAGTCTTCCAGGGTGTCAAATTGTGTGTAAGAGGAGAACCCATCCCTCAGGCTCTGGGTGTGGAGGCAGGTTCACAATAGCACCGGTGAAATGTCTCAGACTAATGGTATCACTGGGGCACGAGCTCCTGCCTGAAGAAGTGCCCATCTACCTAAAGCACCCCTGATGTCTGCCTGCAGAGAAGCGCAGAGTTCATGTCCTTTTTCTGGACCTGGAAGGGATGGGGAGCCTTGCCCCAGGTTAAACCTTTGGAGGAGCATTCCCCCTTGCTTGGGCAAGAATAGATACCAAATAACCCATACACAAATTCAGCTCACAGAGGAAACGGAAGCAGTGGGTGGTGGTTTCCAGAGAGGCTGCCTCAGAGTGCAGGCTGGTAGACCAAGAGGCAGCATAGTTAAAGCAGGGGTGTTGGGGACATGCAGAAGCAGCTCTGTACTGAAGCGCAGTGTGCTTTTATAACGGGGATCTGGAGAGTTTTCCTTTCCTGCTCCCTTCCCTGTTGGGAAGTAGTGTAAAGATCCTAAGTAGCATTTTGCATCAAACGCCATCTCACTGTGTTAATGGAAGCACAGCTCTTCAGGTGTCATGTTCATTGCAGTGCTTTCATTTCACTACTATTAAGGCACTTGTGTTAACAGGAATTGACTTCAGTTTCATTGCTGCAAGCTTCATCAGTGAAAGCATGAAATAGACTTGCCCTTGCAGTGGTGGTCAGCGTGCTGGCATGTGCAGAATTGCTCTAGAAACTGTGAGCATGGTTAGGTTGTCTAAGCAGGAAATACAAGTGCAGGCAGGAAAATGCTTGTGGTTAGAGGTAGGATATAGGCTCTTATCCATGGCATTAAAACTAACCTGGCAGTTGTTTTTTATGTTTCATTGCATTAGAGCGTGGCATAGCTCAGCTGTGACTGACCTGACCAGGATCTGGTTGTGGAGTGTAGAAAAGCCTGGTGTGTGTTTGACATGTGAGAGAAGTCTGACTGTGCGGTTTGTCCTAGATATGGATGTTCTGCTCTGGGTCCAGATGTTTCAGTTACTTGTCCAAGAAATGAGGGACTCGGGAGTTACATGTAATTTATGAGTCACTTTGGTTCAGAAACCTTCATCTCCACCTCAGTCCTGCATGCCATGATGTGCTTAGTCCTTGGATGTAAAGCAGGAACTGGCACTTGTCATAGCTGGTAGGGGGAATTATTCTAGATGTTGTCAGTGAAGAAAATAGCAGTGTTCCTTGCTTGACAAAACTGAGCGGTTTGTTCCCCATCTTAACTTCTCATAGTGTGTCTGTAGCATTGATGTTCTTTACACTTCCTGCTGAATGCTTTCCCCACTGTACTGGGAGCTGCTGCTACTGCGTGTCCTGATCTGTGTTTCTGGAAAGCTATGCTAGTGCTGGTTGGAGAGGCATTGATCTGTTACGATGAGCAGACGGAGATGTTAAGGTCATCCACAGTTCAGGAGTGAATCATAGGCATTGATATTGCACATCTCCACAAAGAAGATGATTTCTTCTGACACTGAAAAGAAGCTTATTTATAGGCTTCTAATGCTAAAAGTGCTTTTTAAGCTTAAGTGCTTTTGTTCTTGCATCTGAGTTAGATAGAGGCATAAAAATCACTTCAGCCTTCAACGTTTTGTTCAGTATCTTCATTTTCAAAGTCAAGTCTGTGTTCCAAATGTGCATGTTACAAATAAAAGGGTCTTGAAGTACCAGCGGCTGGAAGGGATGGTGCTGGGTTGATTTATGCAGAGTTTAGGAAGGATCTTTGCCGTCTTTCTGTATTTAAGTGGCAGGCTGAGAGCATTGGGGCTGTTCAGCCTGGAGAAGAGAAGCTGTATGGAGACCTCAGAGCAGCTTCCAGTATCTGAAGGGGGCTACAAGGATGCTGGAGAGGGACTCTTCATCAGGGACTGCAGGCACAGGACAAGGGGTGATGGGTTCAGACTGAAACAGGGCAAGTTCAGGTTAGATCTAAGGCAGAAGCTCTTCCCTGTGGGGGTGCTGAGGCGCTGGCACAGGGTGCCCAGGGAAGCTGTGGCTGCCCCATCCCTGGCAGTGTTCAAGGCCAGGTTGGACACAGGGGCTTGGAGCAAGCTGCTCCAGTGGAAGGGGTCTCTGCCTGCGGCAGGGGCTGGAACTGGATAAGTTTTAAGGTCCTTTCCAGCCCAAACCAGTCTGGGTTTCGAACTGTGGGGTTTTTTTTCCTTCAGGGTTCCTTTATTCTCATTTCTGCCTGGCATTTCTGCGTTCTCCTTTTGGCTTTCCTTTCAGGTGTGCTCACGTGCTGCCTGGTGCTTTTGAAGCACTGTAGGTTAGTGCAGGTCAGCCTGGTTCTGCCTTCATCACATGGTACTGAAATCTAATGTACCCTTAATGGGTGCATCTCATATGTAAAGTGATTGCTTAAAGTAAGAACTCATTTGCCTCTCAGCCTGCCTGATCAAATGTGATGTGATAAATGGTGCAGATGCTGGTGTTGTTCAAATGAAGCATCGGTGTGAGTTTACTCTGTTGTGTGCATAGCACTCAGTTTTCCCCCTCTGGTTTTTACTCCTCACTTTAATCTTCAGTGTGTGGCCTCATGCCTTATCTATGTCACACTATTCCAAGCCTGCCACGAGCACAGGCCTGGTATTTCCCTGTCTCTCCTGTCCTTCGTACTTGTTGCTGAAGTCAGTGACTGGACATCATGACGCCATGAGATGCAGTAACAACTTGTTGTTTGTTAAATGGGGATGTGGCACGGAGATGGGGTCTAAAGTGACTGTTGATTTCTGAATGCTCCATGTGAAATTAGCCCAGGATGTAATGCTTCAGAGGGGAAAAGCACAAGTTTAGTCCCCAAGGGGCGGAGGGGGCAAAGCTCTTTCCTGAGTAAGAGCTTAGAAATAAGGCAGGCCCACAATAAAAGGCTGGAGACAGTGGGAAAGGGTGAAATGTCGGGTTTAAGTGCCTTGTATTTCCCTGATGGGCTGGGGCAGGGGCAGGTCTCGAGCCGATTGTTGGACGAGCATTCAGCTCTTTAAATAGAAGAGCCTTCGCTCCCCCAGTCTTCCTTGCAGTCCCCTCCCACATTCACTGCATAGTTTCAAACTCCTGCAGTGAGTGAAGCGGGCATCTGACAGACAACAGCCTTCTTCACACATACACACACAGCCTTGATTCATCCCCCAAGGGAGTCTGTCATCTCACTGCCTGTGGCAGATGTTCCACAGAGTGACCCGTATCGGCAGCTTCATACCATAGCTCTGTACCGACCTGTACCATGGGGCGATACCTTTTCAAGGTGGAAGAGGCATCTGAAAAGCTTGATTTCAGAATCCTTAGGATCACAACCCTGAAATAACTTTGTAATGCTTTAAGTACAGAGAGGGCTTCTGCCTGCAGCTGCTTTCCTCTTCAGTAAAGAGAATAAGAGCAAACTAAAAGCAAGAAACCTCATGTGGTGTTGTCTGAGCTGGGATGGGTTGGAACAACAGAGTTGGAATAACCAGATCTGCTGTACCACAGCTGCTGGAGCTATCCAACTTCCCAAGGCTAGCTGTAGTCTATAATCCCTGGGGATCACAACTGGAAAGAGATGTGCTACGTCACTGCATTGAAGTACTTTCTGGCATCAAGGCAGTAAATAAACTGGCCCCTATCAAAATGGATTCTTGCCTGTCTTAGTATCCCAGCTCTTCCATCTCCAGGTGAAGGATTTCATGAACGTGTGTCACTGGGTGTAGGCTAGATAGCTGTCCTGAGTGCTGGGGCTGCTGCCGTTGTGATGTTGGGTCCAAATCTGAAAGCTTTGGTTGTTCAGATGGATCCTTGGATACAGCCGTAAAACCTTGTGTTCTTCACTCTGTTCTTCCCTAGGTCAGCCAAGCCTCCGAGAAGCGATCTCCATGTCCTGTATAACCAATGGGAGTGCAGGAAGCAGGAAAACAAGCCACAGTTCCTCTGTTTCTGTTGCCAGAAAAGAAACTCTTTCGTCTGCTGCAAAAAGGTACTGGCTTGTTCTGAACACTTAAATCATTGTCTTTAAACAGAGTAAGGGTTCAAGTTGTGCCTCTGCGTGACCCTCAGCAGAACTTCCTCAAGTCTGGTAAGGCAGAGATTACACTTTGGACTTGCACCATGTTCTCAGGCAGCTTACAGCAGGGTTCTAAAAGGAATTCCTAACTGGAGAGTTATTTCTGTAGGGTCCAGTATCCAAAATGCACAAGGGATGGAACAGGCAAAGGTATTTCCAATACAAATGGAACAGTTTTGCTTCTGGTATTCATCTGCATCTTTATTCTTTTACCCAGGAAATGAAAGGACAAAACTGACTTCATTGTCTGCGGGGTAAACAGTAGGCAATAGCAAAAGAGCTCTGAAACAATAGTGAATTGTGTTAAGGTAAAAGTTTACCACTTTGTATAGACATCTTAACCCAAAATATGGCTACTTAAGCTTTATGAAGGACATCTGTATTGGATTTCAGATGTATAGAAATAACACTGTTTGGGTTAAGAACCAAACAATAGCTTCCCCCCCCCCCCCGTGTCATGTTTTCAATTGCACGTGGTAAACACAGTGTTTGTATAACTGCTTTCTTCTGTGGGTCTGTTAGACAGTGAGTGCATGCCTTCTTTAATCAGCAGGTCCTGCATTTATTCCTACTTGCTGGGAAGAGCAGGCTGCCAGATGTAGGCACAGGGCAGAGAATACTCTAATGTGTGACTGTGGTGAATTATGGGAACAAATTCTTGGCCTCAGTGGAGTACTCTGGTAACTCCGGTGGCTGGTTTATCTTCTAGTGTGGATGTAAATACTGTGCTGTACAACCAGGCAGGCAAGTGATATACTTCAGGGAATAAAAACGCTGCGTGCAAATAGAAACCACATGAGGGCAAGCCAGAAGCAGCTTTTGTGCCCTTTGGAATTTGGAAAGCAAAGATAATGCCTTGCTCTTCACTCTTCACTGTGTCACGTTGCGTATCTTTCTCTTTATTGCCTCTTTCCGTTTACTTTTCACCAGTGAATCAGGAAGTGGTCCCTGTGTGTCTCTGTTGCTAGTGTGACAGGCACTGGGACAAAAGACATTGCCGTGAAAGGGATTCCTTAGTTAGCACTTTTCCATTAATCTTAGCCCCGTGGCTCTTGGCATGATGATGAGAGCCAGTCCAGTTCCCGTGGTGTTCAGCTTGCCTGTGTGCTGAATCACCTTGATTCATTGGCTGCTCAACACTTAACGGCAGAAGAAAAGCAGAGTGGAGTGGCCAGCATCATCCCTTTCATCTGAGTTACGGTCTCTGAAAGGAGACCTGCACAGGCCAAATGAGGAAAACCTTAGCATGCAGAGGGCAGTTCTCCCTGGGTCCCCAAACAACTGTCCAGGGCATGTTTTGGTGCTTCCAGTGAAGCTGAAGATACATGACTCCCTTCTTCTCTTGTTTCAGGAAGGTCTAAATCTCTAGTTATCTTTCGAGCAGTTCCTTTCACTCTCCTGTCTTTATACATTCTTCCATGGTGGAATTTGTTTGCTATTTGGAAGAAAATAAGACTTGCCCTTTTGTAAAATTCCCAGGTCAAGAAAGGTGAAAGAAAATGCCTCATCTCAGGCTTTGTGCATATGGGGTCTTAATAACAGCACAACTGTCCACTACCAAATAGTGTTCCTGGTAGAAACAGAGGCGATTGTCAGGAGCAGCCTCCTTCCCTTAACAATATTAGGGTGAATGTGCCTATTTCTAACACTTGTCACATTGAAGAGGAGGGAGGCCAAAGGAGAATATCAGCTGGTTGTGGGATGCTGCAAAATTAGACAGGTAGTAATAGCTCACAACTCCTCACATGTGGATGGAAGAAATCCCTTATCCAGGTGGGATTTGGAAGAGCTTTTGGATGCATTGAATGGTTGCTTCCCAGAGCTACTACTGTTTAGAAACCCACAAGAAAAGGTGCTGGGCTTGATTTGGTTTCATTTGTTGCGCAAGACCTAGTTAAAGAGGTATGAGTGGGAGAGCCACTGTGTAATAGTCAGTCATACTACAGTTAAGCTGAAGATTTCAGCAGAAGTGAGCAAACCAAAGCAATTCAGTACAAAGATACTCAGGCTGACACACGTCTACATCATTTACTTTCAAGTTAAAACAGGAGTCAGAAGAAGCAGCCCACTTGCAACCTGGTGGTAGATAAAAGCGCTGTGTTGGAGCCCAAGCCATACCTTGTGCTGCAACTCAAAGAGGAACCAGAGTGGTCCAGTGATTGTTATGGCCCACCTGAGAAGTGAAGGAGTGAACCTCGTGGCAATGGTGTGAACCAGACAGCCCCCAGTGGTAAAACACTGAAGAGGCTCCCACACTGAACCTGTGGGTCCTAGGAGATGGATCAGATCAAACTGCTTGCAGATGTGCAGGCTGCAGGTGCACAAGTCATTCCGTTTGTGTGTTCTCCCTTGTCTCTTTTACTATTGGACATTTTGAAATCCTCAAGTAGAGGGCAGGGGGAAATTGGAAGCTTGTCTTCCTGAAAGGTGGAATCTTAACCTCCCAAAACCCTCTGTCCTAGTAGCTGAACTTTGTTGTGAGGAACTGGCATTGATGGGAGAGTGCTTGCAGAGGTCTAGGAGCGTACCTTGTGGAGCAGGCATAGACACTTGTTTAGTGGCAAGAGATTCGGTGCATTAATGTTGCTCTACTGCCTTTCTTGCCACGGACCACAAAATCTTTAAGGTTGCATTGTGTGCTTGCAGTGCAGGCTAAGTCTTCTGATTAAAGAAGAATTGTTTGAATGTTTCTAGTTAAGAAGGGACTACTGGCTATGAATTATTAACCAAAACCCCACGGCTCTTCAAGTTTTCTCTGTTTGATCCTAATAGATATCCTCAAGAAAGCTCCGATTTGTTCTCATCTGTTGTTCCGAAAGGCAAATTGAACTTCACTGGGTTATATTGCCATTTTTCACAGGTTTACAGAAGAAACCCTGATTGATCCTTTACAAATGTACGTTGAGGTTCATATTGCTTTGCATGTTTTGACCTGTTCTTCAGTGCTGCTTTGGAAGCATTTAGGCAAGTTGAGCTCAAGTAAGCACTGAGGGCTCCATCTCGGTGGTGGTGGATGATAAGCTTTAAGTGAAATAACAAAAAGAGGGTCCTGTGAATGCTACACTGAAATTTGGGGCCCGTTTTTATTTAGTTTGAATATTATCTTCCTGGTATTGAGTGTTTTGGGGGGGAAAGGTAAATGGAAACACATATAATGATGATTATACAGAAGGGTTTTAGCACGAGGGAATAGAAATCTGGCTTTTCCCCCCTGGAAAGATAGTATTTCTTTACTTTGCAGGTTAATTCTTGTTTGGTATTTTTCTTTTTAGCCAGTGTTTGTATCTTCTTGTATTTGTTCACTAAGATATTTACTGAAAGATGGGTGTTTAATCTTAAATAAAAGAATTAGGCCATGCATAACACAGAATAATCTTCTCTTGCAGGTTTGTGTATATTGCAAAGCATGCTATTGGGTAGAAGAACCTTTTAATGAATCTTTCTGTTCACTTAGGGGCCCTTTGGTTAGATTCTTAATGGGTTTCAGGTTGTTAATGACATGCACTTGACATTGTTTCAGATGGTAACCTCATAAACACAGCACTATGAAACTTAAAGATGTATTCTTAGCTGTCATTTCCCAAAGGCATTAAAGAAGCAGCAGGACAATGTGATGTTAATCGGATACAGATCCAAACAGCGATGTTTTCCTTTGAACTCTGGTACAGCCAGGGACCAGCAGCAGCATTTCCTTCCCCCTTTGGTGACAGTGCAAAGAGGAGTGGTACCAAGCATATCCAGAAATACAAAGAGAGGTATAGGTTTATGGCAGGCTTCAGCTAATCAGAGAGCATGCAGATCACAATCCTTCCTTTCTCTTGTGCTAAGCCTTGGCTGGCAGCAAGGAAAGGTTCCCCGTGAGCTGAACCAGAGGATGGGTTTTCTCTGAGGAATGGCAGACTTGTGGTGCATCAACTTGTGTAGAAGCACCTGCAAATGAAGGACACAGAAGTGCAGAGTAGTCTAAGTTGGAAGGACCTCCAAAGCTCATCCAGTCCAACCCCCTGCAATGGGCAGGGACATCTTCACCTGGGTCAGGTTGCCCAGAACCACGTCCAGCCTGGCCTTAAAGAAGATTTTCTTAAGAAGAGCCTGTGTATTCAAATCAAAGCTGTGCCCGTTTCAAAATCCAAGTCAACTTAGTACAAGTGCACAGGAAAAATCAGGATGTGCCCTTCCATGCCTCCCTCTCCTTCATTGTTGTGAATAAATCTTATTTCAGCAAAGCACTTAGCCTGAAGAGAGTGAGGGAATAATCGAGGTGTTCTTTTGGTGATTATATATAGTAAGCTGTTACATGCTTCTCCCTTCTTTTCACAGTCGGATTTTTCCTCTCACCTTTTTAATCCATTTGCTTGTTTTGTTTTTCCTCCCCCCTCTGTTATACTTTTATTTTACAGCGGTACAGAAAAAAAGAAGGACAAACCACCAGGACAGAAAGAAAAAAAAGAGGAATCTCATTCTAATGATCCAAGTCCGCAAACGCAAGCATCACCTTCTCCTCAGCCCTCCTCCCAGCCTCTCCAAACACACAGGCAAACCCAGGAAAGCAAGAGTTCTGCTCCAGCTAAAAGGTTTTCACAGTACCACCGTACAGAATGAGAAAGTGATTGTAGTGATGCTGAGCTCGTATCTGACAGCAAGCCATGTGAAATTAGTCCAACCTGATGAACAAGTCATGAATGACTGGTATTTTTGGGGCTAAAGCAGACGCATTTGACGTGCATTGCATCAGAGCAATTGCGTACAAATGAATTCATGAGTAAATCTTTAAGATTACTGGGTGTGGGGGGTGTTTTCTGTGATTGAGACCCTCTAATCAGGCATTATTATAAACTATAAAATACCGAATGACAACTCTGACTCGATCCTTTACAAAATACACTTCCTAGCTTCTGGCTGGCATAGCTGAATTGTGGAGTGTATTTTGCACATGCCCCTGTGCTACCTCTTGTAACAGCAGTTGTTAAATACTGGGATCATTGCAGCACTCTGGGAGTTGTTCTTCTCAAATTACTCAATAAAGTGGCTGCATTTGGCTTTTCGTTTGCAGTACTTCCCTTTTCAGTCCCTGCTAGGTTGCAGGGTGGCTCACTTCGGTTCTCATTCTTTACGTGATCGAAGTTCTGGTTTCACACCCAAATAATAGATGTACTTCACTTGAGTGACCATAGAAGTATATTTAGAGTCGCCTCCAAGTTCCCACTCATTTCAGTGGGAATTGGGTGCTGAAAAATGATTTTTTTAGTGGATTTTTAAAGTCAAGGAAACTGATTTTAAGATGTGGGTGATTCCTTCTGAGCTTCAGGACTCTACAGATCACTGTGTTTTTTCTTCTTTCGGTTCATGGTCACCTTTATGGAAGGTGTGACATTCCCTTTACTGTTTTGCTTGTAGGAGCCTCAAGCTCTTAAACAACAGCCATTTCTTCTTCTGAAACTTGCTGTAGTTCACGAGATTGTTGTCTTGCACTGCTCGAATTCACAGCTCTAATCAGTATTGAAGCCTTCACTTGACTGGTGCATGTTATAACACTCCGTAAAGGCTCTGTCCGCGTGTCTTGCCCACGCTCTCGAGTTGTCTGAAGCTGAGCTCACAGCCTGTTGCTCTCCTGCCTGGTGTCTCCCTGTGAAGATGTTTGTCTGGAGCCTTGCTTACTAATCTTTTGCAGTGTGGGGAAGGAAATAAACGCCTTGTTCAATCTCCTCCTGGTTTAACTTGATGTGATTAACCGGTTTGTCGCAGGACCGCTCAGCCTCTTGCGGTGCTGTGGAAGGAGCTTGCCATTCTGAGGCTGCGGCTCAGGACTTACTCCTGCAAAAAGCATTTCTGACAGGATGAAGTAGGATACTGCTAGCAGGACATAGGCAGATTTGAAGAATCGTTTGGGTTTGCTCACTTCTGACCATGCTTCCCATCATTAGAATGGGTGTGAAATTCAGTCCCTACAAAACTCCCGGGCTCCCATTCGTGTCAATTGGCTACACCAAGACTGCTGAACGTTGGAATCCACATTCATGGGTTGAATCATCTGTAGTCTTGGGCCAAACCTGATTCATGCAAGAAGTTTGCAGATCGTTGCTTCAAAAAGCTTAAACCCAGTAATGTGGTGTAGAATGTAGGATCTGCAAAACAGCATGAGGAAACTGAGCTGATGGAACTGTTCTGCCTCAGAAATCAGTGTATTAAAGCTGGTGGACAGTTGATGGGGGGGGGGAAATTCTCCTTCCCTTTGTTACCTTCCGAAGTGACTTTGTTCCTCATTTATTCTTTAAAATAGCCTCGTTTTTTTCTCCTTTAGTAATTTCTCAGCAATGTAGTAATGAAGTGCAGAGATTGTTCAAGGCTGTACGTAAGAGCAGTTGAAAATGGAAAGGAATGGGTAAAACATTTGGCAACTGTCTTGCTCAGTTGTTTGCATTCATCCAGTTAGAACTTTTTGACTAATCTTTTTTCCCCTGTTTCACGCTTCAGCTGAAGGAAGACCTCGCTCTGCTTTTGTCTCCTGCTTCATCTGTCCGTTGCATACCAGTTCCACTTGCTTTTGTCTTGCCTCGCTTGTCATTTTTACATGGTTTTCTGTTTCTTCCAGCATAAAGAAATCCCTGACTGCTGAGAAGCCTCACAGTGCTTGGGAGAGCTCAGACGACAGCCGGAACAAGCTGCTGCGAGTAGCATCGACATCTAAATTAATATCAAAAGTGGCAAAGAATGCAGATAAGTATGTACCAGCTCAGTAGGGAAAAACAAGTGAACTTGAGAGTCAAAATGTTAGAGATATAAATTGCTATATATGTAAAACTGCTTCACTTTAGTGAACCTGCTTTTATGTATGCCCGAACCTTTTGCATCTTTGTTCTTACCAGGAGTAGCTACTTGCATAACCTGCCTATGTGGCATTCCACGTGCCTGTGGAATCTTACAGTTGTTAGTAACTGCGAATGCAGGATTTTGGTGTCAGTATATTTCAATGTTGCCCATTTGGGTTAGTGAAATGACGAACAAGGAGTTAAGATTTATAGCTTAATGCCACTGTGGTGATGCTTCCAGATGTGTTTTTTCCCCTAATGAAAACTGATTTGAAAATGCAAGTGTATTTCCTTGAAGTTCATTTGCTGGATTTGACAGAGTTTGTGCTTTTCTGAAGTTAACTGTGAATATACTTGTAAGACTTTGCGTAGGTCTCTCAAGTTAACTGTTTAATGGGTTCCTGATTGCATGCTCTAGGTAACAGGCAGGGATCTTCTCTTCAGTTCCCCCTTCAGTAGGTGATGTGCTGTAGCCCATCGTTCCTCTCGTGCCCTTCTTCAGTAGCAGGTTTGGTCAGTGGAGGCCTCACTGGCCAAGGCTAGCACCAAATGAGTTACTTCTGCTCCTGTCAGCACAAGGCCAAGTTTGCTCTTCGCTATAACTCTGCGTTGCTGACCCCTGTTGTGACTGGCTTCTTGTTCTTAACCCTCTTTGCCAGTTGGGTTTTGCACTTCCCAGTCCCACAGGTAGTTTCTCCCTTTGACCTTGTTGTAATCTTGCTGGATTTGATGAACTTTCAGTGTTGACTTTCTCGCTGAGAGCCCCCCAGTGTGCTGGGAGCTTCTCCCAGCTTTGAGTCATCTGCAGACTTTGCACATGCGCTCATTAATCCTCATTCCAGTAGCCATTAATGGGTCCGGGGCTGAACTCCCTGAAAACCCTCCCACTGTGACAAATAAAACCCCTCAGATCTCTCGGAGTGATTTCCAGTCTTTCTGATTGTGTCTGTAGTGCTCTCCTTAGCTGACATCTAAGACAGTCAAATACATACTCAAAGTCAAGAGCAGTGTAAGTGCATTCCTTCTTTCTTAGGAATGGGAAGGACAAAACCACCCTGGGTTAATCTCGGGCGTGGATATCATCACATTCACTGAAAGCTTTCTGCTTAGCCTGAAGAGTTGTGCAGAGCAGGGAAGTGCTGCGTGAGGGATTATGGCTCACGTAGTTTGCAAGCATTTATTTTCCTTTATAATTGCTTTTCACTGTTGGAATTTCAAAGCCCTTTGGCAATTCAGGTTAGAGCAGGAGACTGTGAGGGTAATACTTGGAAAGGAAAAACCCTCCGTCTTGATTTCTGCTTGCCAAGATTCTTTTCTTGGGGTTTATTATGCTACTAAAATACCTTTCTCAATGTGGTATATGCTTCACACTCCTAATAATAAAATATGAATTTTACTTTTATTGACCTTTCTTTCTGGTCTGTTGGCTCAGGCATGGTCAGAATAGAGGCATCTTCTTTCATTCCCCTGTGTGAGTCTGCTTATTTTCTAAAAGACTTTAAATGCTGCCCTTCTACAGTATCTAATACAGAGAAAAGAATCAGGTATCTAACAAAAGACTGGACAAGGAAAGATTAGGGGTAATTGTTACTTATTATGATAATAATATAATAATTATAATAAGTTGTCTCCTTGTAACTTGAAGCTGTTGTATCTTGAAAGTATTTGGGAGAAAACAAAGCTTCAAGCATTACCAGTTGTAGACTGTCATCTGATTGAAGACTGGGTGTTGCGTTGTTGGTGTGCCTCGTTCTGCTCAGAATTAGAATAAAAGCACTCCTTGCATTCAAGAGCACACGTTAATACTCATTTCATACATGCTGTGTGCCCTGTTTCTAACAGAATTGGTTGGTATTGTGCTATTGTTACGTTGCGTTTATCCTTCCCAGTTGAGTAATGTTGGCCTTATCTGCCTGAAGTTACCAGAGTCTGGTGCAAGGGAATAGAATTCAGCCCCTAATACGGGCCCAGGGCAGAACTGTTTTACACGTGCTTTGTGCTATCAGCCCAGGATATGAACTTTGTTCAGTAAGCTCAGCACTGAGCTGTAAATCAGCCTGATAAAGCCATTAGTAAGCGGGTTCGCACAGCAGCCCATCATCCAGTGTCCTGCAGGCAAGACTGGGAAGCCAGCGTCCGTTTTCCCCTTGGCAGTGTGGTGCAGGCTGGTTCTCCCAGCAGCCAGAGATGACTTTCCTCAGGCATATGCTTGACCTTTGTTGCTGTTACAAAAATGTGACCTCCATCCAGCTAAAAATACTGGATGCCACGCATAGCTTCCTGCCTGATTTCAGATGAGGTCAAGAGGGGGCTGATGCAATACACACTGCTGTCAAGGAGAGGTTTTCTGGGAAGAAGTAGATAATGCTGGAAATGAAGGTTTCTTCCCTCTGCAGATAAGAGATGGAGGAGTTTTGTGAGTAGTTCTGGTGAAGAGAGACATCGCGGCTGCACTCCTTTGTGCTGTACATCCCGTAGTTCCACATGGATCTGGTTTAAATGGAACTGCAACTTGCTTACATTTAATCCGTGTATCCATTAGGGTTAATTCCTAGAAAAATCTGTGGTGTTGTGTGCTGACAGCTTCTTTTTGACAGGTGTTAAATGCTTTGCATGCAGGCCTCGGGGTGCTTGGCAGCTTAAAACATTTGGGTATTCCACGTCTGCGCTCTCCACATGGAATTTTCCATGCACAAGGAATATGCCCTGCATAATGTATCTTTAAAGTCTTTCTGTATTGTGGCACTCCTTAGGAACCCTGGCCAGAGGGCCAAAGACTTGAAGTTACTCAAAAGATTCAGTGAAGTGCATAGAATAATCTCTGGGTAAAAATGCATTGAGATGAGCAAGAGTAGTTCCTTAGCATCCTATACTCCACTTACACTGTGCCCAGAGTCTGATGAGCTTGCCAAAAGCAATAATGGGTAAGAACTAGATGCTATTGGCTTGCTGAGTGTGTCCCATCTTCCTAACGATATGACTTTGTATTTTTTCCCCAGGCACAAAGATGTCATCGTCAGCCAAGGTAAATACAAACATTCCTTTCTAAATGCTGGCTGCAGTTGAAGTGCTTTGCTTTTGACTGAAATGGGAACAAATGCTCGTGAACTGGGGCTAGAGATCTAAAATAGCATTCGTGCTTACTGCAAGAATTCCTCTGGCCAAATAGTCCTCAAGACCTGTACAAGGATCCTTGAAATGATGAAGTGCCTCATCACATTGGAGCTTTAGGAAGGATGGGGTAGGGGGAGGATTCCTTTTACTTCTATGAAACGAGAATCCCCCTTTTCCTTTCTCTGTGTGCATGTGCATAGAGAGGGGTTCTGCAAGCAGCAGTGTAAGGGTTTGACCGATGTGCCAGTCTTTGCCCAAGCTGAGCGAGTGCGTGGGGCTTTAGAAATAGTTTTAAGATATTTTATTTCTGTCCCATAACCAGCAAAAATGTCAACTCGTGAAAAAAACAGCCAAGGTAAGAACTAAGCTATGCCTCCGGTTGCTTCCTAACTGAGCGCTCGCACGGGTCTTTTACTTGGCTTTTCGCTGTCACACGGAGCATCAGTGCACGATCTCTTCCAGACTTTGAGCACTGGAATAAGTGCTTCAGCTTTCTTCCTATGGAAGCATGTATACATACGTGCATCGCATATGTGGGGATTATTTGGGGGTAGTATTAACTAAATTGCTCCACGCATTGTGTGAATTCCTGCACTGTTGCCTGAGATGTCAGACTACGAAGAACTGCCAATTAAAAGATTTGTTTAATCCCAGCTTTCTGTCTTGCCAATATTACAACATACTATAACATACACACCCTGATTAGACACGAACGGAGACTGAAAGCTTCCATACAAGCTGCTCAAATGAAAAATGAGTCGCTTGTAAAGCGTATGTCTTTGACTGATGAATCTTGCCTTCTGTGGCTACCTGCTGCTGCTGGCTTGTTCCGACAGGAAAAGGAGCCGTCTGTGAACGTGGTGGGACATAACAACAAAGGAAATCCACTTCTTGTGTTGCAAAACTACTCTGCTTTGACGTCCTGCACAGTCTAGTGGAGCATGCAGTTTCCAAACTAGAGCATGTAACCCAAGTGCATGCTGTACACAACATAGATCTATGTACAGAGGTTCTGTCTCATGCTTTCTTGCTGCTCGTTAACCAATCTGCAGTCTCCAAATCCTGTGCTATAAGCAAGATGACATTATATATGCTTTGATTACTTTGGGTCTCTTCTGGATTTTCTTCTTAGAAGAAAATGAAACCACTAAATTGTTTTGGAAGTCAATACATAAATCATAGTGAAAGCAGAATCGGCATCAGTTCAATTGGTGTCATCCTTTCTAATTCATAGATTCGGTTGCAGAGTTAAAAAATGCTCTAAATTGATGAGTGCCAAAAGCATCCTTCAAAGGCTAGAGGGGTGATAGAAGGTGCATGAGCATCAGGTACAAAGGAGAAATGTTTGGGTTTGCCAGGTTGCTTAACACCAGTGGTTCAACGGCACATACGTTCCTGTAAAAAGCAAACTAATGATTTAGTGTCCAGCTGCAGTTGGCTTTGCAAGAATTAAATAAACCCCTTTCTATCAAACACAGCTTTTCACAGAGTCGAGCTGCATACAGCTCAGTGCCTTCAGTCCTAATTCTTGACAGTGTGCTTCTACAATTGTCTGTGTTCTGCCCAGCATCCTTCAGTTCTCTCTGCCTGGTACCTCTAGCTTATGTGGCCTTGATGTGTATGTACCTTGCTGCCTGCTGGGTTGCTGTGCAGCTGTGAGCTTTCACAGACGGGCGAATGGGTATCCACCATGTGTGTCATGCCATAGGCTGTTCTCAGCCCAGCGGGAATGAAAGAGAAATGTGATGCAGACAACAGTGGCCCCACGTGTATGGGAGATGGAGAGAAAGTCTTGTCGTGGAAAACGTGTTTGCTGCCATTTGAAACATGTACGGTGCCAAAACGCTGTTCTGCCGTTGACATGGGTGCAGTTGCAGTTAGCAGGATTCAGCCTCCCAAGATTATGTTTTTATATGGACCAAGGGGTGTTTTTTGGCAGCTTTGAGTGTGTGTTTGTGTAAGGCTGCATTAGGTTTTGTATTGTATTTACTGCCACAAGAGTAACCACCTCTTAGCTACTGCAGTCGCATAGGATCCTGCCATCCTTTCCAGTATAAGCTTAGCAATACTCAGCCAATTCTCCTGTAGTGCAGACTGTCAAGCTTCAAAGAAAAATCTACCTAAAAACACTTCAGTGTCTTTACATACCCATAAAATAAGCTTGGAAATGCAGTGAACTTGTAAATTATCCTCGCAGAAGGTGTTTGCATGGGATAATAGGATAGAAGATCCAGTTCTGTGAGGCTTTCAACACCCTGGAATCAGTTTGTTTCGATTCGGCTATTAACCTGCTTTGGACCATGTTGATTACAGAGTACCACAAAATAGAGAGAAATAGGGGTTTGCACCTTTGGTTCTTGGAATCGTGTTTATTCTAGCAGCAGAAGTTACTGTAGTGTTGCCTGTATTGTGTCCATCTGTGCATGTTCACTGTGATTTGTGCTGCTAGTATGTATTGTCCTCTGCAGCAGCAGCACGGGTAGAGCCAAGCCCTCAGCTGCTTTGGGGCAGTCACTTGAGGTTCCTGCAGTATGCACCATGCATGGTAGCACAGTTCATCACCTACCTTCTACCTTGCTACCCAGTTTTCTTCCCATACAGCCTTTGTTTCTCTCAGTAGGGTTGAGTTGGATCTCTTGCACTTGAAGGTTAGTCCTTAGCTTTATGCATCTGGGTGCATGCTGCAGCAGAGGTAGTACAGCCAGGAACACTCAGTGATGCCAGTCCAATGAGGAAAGTGTTCTGTGTACTTCCATCCCTTTGCAGAAGTGATTATTTATTTTTTTCAAGTTTAGGTTTTTCAGCTTATTTGCAGCCATCTGTTTGTTTGTCCTTATAAGCCAGGACAACATCTTGCAATCAAATCCAATATTAAGGAGGTATTGAAATTCCATGGAAACCCAATAAATCTGTGGGTGAAATGAGCAGGTGCTTATTACAGCCTCACAAGGACACTAGCTCAGATGGTTCCTTACCAGCAGGTGTTTAGAATTGCCTGTAAAAGCCATCTTGCTTTTCACTTCAGCACAGACAGAAGACATGGCTTATTTGAAGAGAAAAGGTCATTTTTTTTGCACTGAGATCTCATGTTGGATTTTGGGTTTCAGTGACAGCAGCTCAGTATAGGAATCACTTGTTACTTATTATAAAGCAATAAGAGATGCTTAGCTGGTTTGGGCTGGCAATAAAAACCATATGTGAAAGAAGTAATGAAAACCATTCACTGCATTCCTAAGTTTGTTTCTTTTTAGATGGTGCTTTATTAGTTTCCAGTACTACTTCTTCTGTTAGTTTAACTGTGCTAGAGCTGTAGCATCACAGAATGGGTCAGTTGTGAAGCATGAGTGTGTCATGTCCACTGAGAATGCTGCGTACAGTAACTGCATCGGGTGAGGTTTGCTTTAGGCACAGATTTCTGTGAGATGCTCACTGGAGGTGCTCATGTACCTGAGCTCTAATGGGGGCATGGTCTGTGGCCCAGAGGAGGCCATGAGGATGCTCAGGGGCTGCAGCACCTCCTAAATGGAGACAGGCTGAGAACATTGGGGCTGTTCAGCCTGGAGAAGAGAAGCTGCGTGGAGACCTCAGAGCAGCTTCCAGTGTCTGAAGGGGGCTCCAAGGATGCTGGAGAGGGACTCTGCATCAGGGACTGCAGCCACAGGACAAGGGGGGATGGGTTCAAACTGAAACAGGGCAAGTTCAGGTTAGACCTAAGGCAGAAGCTCTTCCCTGTGAGGGTGCTGAGGCGCTGGCACAGGGTGCCCAGAGAAGCTGTGGCTGCCCCATCCCTGGCAGGGTTCAAGGCCAGGTTGGACACAGGGGCTTGGAGCAACCTGCTCCAGTGGAAGGGGTCCCTGCCCTGGTGGCAGGGGTTGGGACTGGATGAGCTTTAGGGTCCTTTCCAACCCAAACCAGTCTGGGATTCTGTGATTATTATTGGGCTGCTTGTTCTCCTTCAGGGCTGTTATTAGAAGCCCTAGATACTGTCAGAAAAACAGATTTGTATTTGTGGGCTTTTAGCATTGATTCTTCCTGAGGTCAGGATTTTGTTATTCAAGCAGGAAGCCAGTGTCCAGTGCTCCTCTCTGAATCCTTGAATTATTTTGATTCAAATGCTAACTGTTAATACCTAGATTATTAATATCGCCTGATGCATGCAAAACCAGGGGTTTAACTGTGATTTACTTACTGTATAAAATTAATAACAAAAGATCTGTTAAGAAATCACAAGGCAAAGCTGTAAAACCATTCCAAATCTCTCATCTCATCTGCTTTTCTTTGACTGTTCGGTTTGCATTGCAGCAGCCCTCAATAGCCACAGTGCATGTCCACTTGAGAGGCTCAGCAAGCCGTGAGACGGGGCAGACCTACAGCTGGATTTTCATTCCACTGTAACTTAAGATGTAATGGTCTGGGCATGGTGGCTGCATTTGGTTGTGTTCATCTCTGCTGCTAGCACTTGTTTAAATTAGAAACAGGCTTCTAAGCCTTTGTCTCCCAGGTTCGTGGTCCTGCAGGGTTCTTGGACACAGGCCTGAAAGCAGAAAGCTTGTGGGAAAGAAGCTATTTGTAGTATTAAAAAGCATAACTTCACTGGTCAAGCCACTAGAAGGTGGAGACAGATTAATAAATGTACTCTGGACGTGGTAGCTTATTGTATATTAGTAGAGAGTTCTGCTTGGCCAAGCTAGCTGGAGTCTTCAGGGGTTGTAATTCACTTCAAGGGTAAGATTGAGATGCTAAACACAAGTAGAACTGAGCCAAGGGTTTAAGCATCAGTCCGTTTTGCTCTTCCAAACTAGATGGGGGAATCCTACTGAAAACCAGTCACTAACAATTTGCAATAGAAGATTACTGTAATGGTGCCTTAAGAATTGAACTTCTAGCCATGCAGAAAACAGATCGTTTGGATATTTATTCACTGTTACCTACTCTGCGAGTGTGTGTGTGTATATATATGTGTGTGTAATCTACTGTATGCTCATTAGACTGCCCATGCATACACTTGCTAGCTAAAGAGCAGTTCATTACAGCACAGACCTCAGGGTCTGTCTAAATAATGATATAAATGTGGTATAAAATGCATTCTCCTAGTATTCTGTCCAGTTTTGATGAAGAAATCAGTAGGGTGAGGGCTTCTCACATCCTGCTGGAAACTGCTGTGTCTTCCTTGGCGATCCCGTTTGGAGGACGGTTTTCTGGAAACCAGGAGGATTTTGGTTTCGTTACATCCTGTCTTCACATTCCTGAAGGATCTGAACCGTAGCTTTCATGTCTCCTGCATTGCTCTTCTCTGTAGATATTTGTGAGTTCGCCTACAAAGACTTCTTTGATTGTTTCTTTTCATCCTCCTTT